GAGCCTAAATATGAAACCAATTACAATCTTGGGTCTGCACTCCAAACACAACCCGCATAATTTTTTTGTTGTTCTCCTCTGAAATGCAAGCAACTATTTCAAGCCTTACACCCCCCTTTTTTTTTCTTTTTGAGTTTTTCATCACTTTACGCGGTGTGGTTCGGATAAATAATAAACCTGTTTACCGCTCGTGTGAGCTGAGGTAATAATCTATCAACTGAATCTGGTCCGTGTGTCCGCCGCTCTCTGCTTCGCTCGGGTGATGAATGAACATCTGAGTAATTTCATGGATGAATTAGGAGCTAAAAACAACAGCGCACTGGGAGGGGAGGGGGAAGCATCGGCAGATATTCCACCTGTTGCCTAAGAGTAATAGAATAGTACGATTTTTCTTTGTTATGGCGTTGATGCTTCACGCAGATAGTGTTTCAGACAGAACTCCTGGCAGCTCTGCTGAAAATGCTTTTTTGGTCATTTAGACAGCAAAGCAAACAAGATCATATCTGGAGTAATATCTGTTCATTACATTCATTTCGGTTCTTTTTCATGCTGTTCTCAAAGTCTGAATCTTAACCACAGCCATGAAAGCTATTACACCGACACACAATCTCTAATAAGAGAGCAAAGCTAATTATCTCTGATGGGGATACATCAGTCAGCTTAGGGACACAGCGCTACATCAACAACAAGACCAGAGGTTGATGTTAAACTACATAAAAAGATCAAGAGTCGGGGCTGATCGCGTCCATCAGCGCCGCTGGCTAATGTCCTCCAGATGAGCGTGGTCTCCCCCGCTCCCCGACTCCATGCGTGCGTCCAATCAGCGTGGAATCCGCCCAGCTCGCGGGGTGAACCTGCTGCAGGAAGACTCTTTTAACGCTACGTGTTGGAGAGCCGTCAGCTGCCAAGCAGGCATCGCGTTCGTCTCGCTCTGCGAAGGAGCGCCGCTGAGTTTCTAAGTTTTAGAAAGACGGACTCGATGTTTTCTTTACAAAATCATCTTGAAACGAGTAGCATGCATTTGTATTTACTCCAACACCCCAATGTTGTTCATTTCCTTTAAAAATGGGGTGAACAAACGGCTTAAAAAAGACAAAGGAACACAGCAGATCAGTCAGGGAGAGAGTTGTGGAGAGGCTTAAAGCAGGGATAGGCTGAGGCACAACACTTCAAAACAAAAGCCTTGAACATCAAGTAATGAGGTCATTAATCAGAGGCAGACAGCCATGAGGCCCCTGATAACTCTGGAGGAGCTGCAGAAATTCACTGCTCATGTGTGAGAAACGGTCAATAGAATAACTCTTTGAGGTCCACTGAAAAAAGCTGGCCTTTATGGAATAGTGGCAAGAGAAAAGTCTTCAAAGATGTATCGTTTGCAAGTGGTCACTCTTACAAAAAGCTTTGTAAGAGTGACATCACGTGTCATTTCAAATATGTGGCTAAGCGAGGCTAAGTTAAGTTAAGCTAAGATAGTTTTTCTCAAACCACAAAATACGCACATACAGGCAGGAGTTGTGGTTAGAAGGTAATACTATATTTTTTCTCCCCAGATTTTTGGGTTACATGTAAAACTACTAAACTGGGCACATCGGACACATTGGGTAGCGACACATATGTTATGGAGATGCATTTCTTAAACTGGGAGAGGGAGATGATGGTAAGCTGAATGGATCAAAACATGGTCAACCAAATTGCAGCAAAAAGTGCATCTAGACACTATTCCACTCCTGAGTTTTGACTCAGCATAAGTAACCACAGAGATTTATGAAGAACGAGCGGGAGGAAACATCATCACCTTGGTGGGATCCTGGGTACTGACGTTGGGCGTTAGGCCAATCCTGCCACTCCTCTGCATTGGCCAGACTGTAAACCACAGTTAGATGGATTGTGGTCTTAAGCGTCTCAAGCTGAACGGCGATGCAAACACACCGGGTTGTGTTGTGGAAATAAATCCACACTGGAACACTTTTTGAAAGCCCCCATGCATCATGGCACTAACAAATGTTGTATAGAAAAAAAAATCTTCCAAATAAAGAAACAACTGACAACTGTCCAGCGGAGTGACAAATCAAATCCTCAGAAAACCTTCGGACCACATGCAGGGAGCCAAGTACAACATTTTACTTCTCTTCATCTACTAAAAGTACTTTGCTTTTTGCACCAAGATTCTAAAATGTATAAAACTTTTTATTTATTTATATAACTGGTTCTATGTGGAGGAAGAACCCAAAGAGTGGGGCCTTTTTGGGTTCTTGTCTGACATGCTTTAACATGTCAGACAAACCATGGAGGTGACAGACTGTAGTGTTTGTGAGCGTAAAGTTACCCAAATTTTAAAATGCACTAAGCTTGAGTTTTCCCTTTCAAATATCCCTGTCACTGCAAAACATTCACCAATGTCTAAAGAGGTAAAGTTCTAATTCCTACCGATGTTCACATACAATTTACAAAAAGATAATCCATTTCTTTCTCAGGGTCTGACATTAAATCAGGCCACGTTTTCTGTTTTAGCTCAGTCAAGCTTATCAAAATAATTTCTCTTAAGTGTCTCAAAACCCAAGGTATGATATAATATCTGTATAACTTACTTCCTACGGCAAACACTTCTGCTTTGATAGTTTACTTGCCATGCTGCATTTGGGTCTTCACAATTCATATTATTTGAAACCTCAAACCTTTCAGATTACAGTGAAGATGACTCATGATTTGAAAAAAAATTAACCAATCTTGTTTGCTCTGAAATGTAATGGACACAAATATTGGTGATAATCATATGTGAGCTAAAACAGGAAAAATCTAGAACTATTTCATGCCAGGCAAAAATGTTGCATTTGTTATATAGTGTATGCAAACATCTGGTTTTTAACTATATATATACATATATATAGTTTACCTGAAATTGGGACTAGCTTAAAGTTTGAGTGTCGGGTCGAACAGAAAACTGTGAGTATTTTATTTTTTTAAATATTTTGACAACTATTATACCATTTTTCATGTAAACATTCTCAAGTAAAACTCATGTGATAATGTGCAAAAAGAAAAAAAGTGAGACTTCTAACTGCTTCCATTCACTAATGTAATGTTTAACGTAATATAAAGCCAGCTATACTTTAGAACGGGGCAAAACACAATTCATTTTTCTGTTTTTAGATTATTCTCTTTAAAGATAGAGATTTGATTATAAACTTAATATCTTCTTGCGAGTTAAAGATAAAATATTTACATTGATTAAAAAAACCATCCACCCTATAGTGTATTTGAGCTTTTATAAGTTGATAGCGCCAGGCTAAAGATCGCATGATTTCCAAGTTAGAATAAGTAAATATAAAAAAGACACATTTGTATTTGTATTGTATTTGTCATTTTTCTTACTGTGTTATTTACTAAAGGCACATTAATGTATAAAATCCCTCAGGCTCTAGTGGTCAGCTATGAGATGACGACATTACACAGGATAACGACCATTAGGTTTGCTCAAAATGCTACATTCTGCAACTAATGATGAGGAGGTCACCATGTCAGTGAGAGTTATATCATTTACAACATGACACTTTTGAGACTGTCACGTTGTAATCTTGAACGCACCCCTTCTCTTGTTTGTTTCTCTTAGGCCCCCCCCCACCTCCAAACCACTGGATAAAGCGACTGGATGAAATTGAGTAGATTACACTTTATGTCCATCGCCGTCTTCTGTTACCCTTACTCCCTCGCCACACATGACATCATGGAAAACTTTGCGGGGCTTCAGCTGCAGGAAAGAAACCCTCTGTTGTTTTAGCTATTTTGAGAGCCTGTGTGCATACACAGGGCTAAAAATATTGATTCAAAACACAGGATTCCGCAAATGTTTCCACCTCCGGCGCTGTCATGCGAGTGGCATTTGAGTCAGGTTGAATTGGGCCGTGATGCTGAAAAGGAGATATTTCAGCGTGGATTAATCTTCAGAGGGATTCAATGGGGGGGAAAAAAATGTTCAAGGTACGTAAACGGGATTTGGAAAAGGAGCGCCACGTAAAGCCTTTCTGTACTAATTGCGGCGCTCTGACTCTTTCATTCATTTCCAAAGGTAAACAAGCAGATGTTGTTGAATCAAACTGAGAAATCTGCAACCTTGTTATGCTTTGGGTGGGAAAGGCATTCAGGAATTTAGATTTTGCAAGAAACATGAACTCAACACTGAACAGCTTCATCCTAACTAGGCAATGTACGGGGACAGCGTTCTGTACGCATCTTACAGTTGTCAACCCGTTCACCTATGTATACTCAGTGTGCAATCTGACCACCACCTGATTATTCAACTATGTCTCATAAAATGTAATTATGTATTTGTCAAGCGTGAGAAACAACTAAGCTTTGGGTTTAAGTTCAGGCTTTCAACTAAGTGACATAAGACTCAGACAACCATCGACTATAATATTGTACCAAGGTATATGGCATTGTCAGTTGTTTGTCACATAGTATTCCTACTAGATGTAATTTTACAGCACTTAAGTTCCTCTAATTGTTTTCTGAGATGAAATGTATTTTGCAATAGCAATATGGTTGAACTCATTTGTCTTTGTTTGGGGCTAACTAGCATTAGCGCGGTAAGCGGCTCGTGTTAAGCCCTCTGTTGAAGACAAAAGAGAAATCCTACAGCCACTAAAGTCCACTCCAATTTTGTCTCCATTTCGTGAAGAAGGAAGTTGCGCTCATGTGTTCCTCACAGGGTGTTATGTTGTTTCCTTCAGCTGCTCTTAGTGCAGCGCCTCCACAGGAGAGGAGGTGAGCAGCTCGCTCAAAGGGTTTGGCTCGTCTGACGCAGCGCAGTGTGAATGGAACTCAGTCTACCGGACTATCATGCACAAAAACACCCTTTGAAGAAGTTAGTCAAAGTGGAGTTATCTTCTACTCTACCCAACTTCATGTTAGCATACCTCAGAAAAACAAAAAAAAAACTTTAAAAAAAATTTGTCACAAATGCTTGAACTTTGGAAAAATATAAATATAATTGGACTCACCATTTTTGCCTTCGCTTGCCTGTTTCCTGGGTCTGTGGCTTGGCCTGTCTGTCTGCCGTCCAGCATGTGTGGCCCTCTGTGGGAGACCGGGATGCCGTCTGTCCCGTGGAGCCTCGTTGCAGACCTCTGAGCATTTCACAGCGTTCATGGCTCCCCCTTCACTCCCCTGCGGATGACATTTCTTCTTGGGTCACCTCCCTTCAGCAGACAAGAAAGATGCCATGAAAGTGAACGCTTGGCAGACAGGGGGGCCACGTAACGGTTACAGTTAAACAACCACTGTCAATTGGAGTTTCAATAAGCGCATAAAACGTCAGAAGCACACGTGAATGGGTAAATGAGAAAACTCTTCCCTTGACTCTAAAAGCTGGAATAAATCCAAGTCAGTGTTTACAGAACATTTCACGTTTCGGAGGCCCGTCTCGGCTCAGGCAGGCGGCCGGCGTGTGGCTGGTTGTTTATGACCCTGGTTTAAACTCTCATTCAGCCATATGTGTGCATCTCTTAACCAGGTGGAGGTATTCCCTTCAGGTGATGGGAATTTTTTTTTTATTTAAACAATATCAAGAGAGCAAAGTTTTAAAAATCCCGAAGAACAACAGAAAAACAAAGCATTACAAACACATCTCCATCCTGTTCCCCTACAATCTGAATGTAAGAATAAATATTTAGCAGTTGAGCAGAGAAGTTTGCCAGCAAAGATTTGATCTGAGCAGAGACAAGTTTTGAGCGCAAGGAGAAAGGTCTAAGAAAGCACAGTGAATATTTGAAAACGAGCAAATACCTTGGAGTACAAGCATTACAAGTTTTAAGTCAGGAAGTCCTGCTTTCAAAATGAAAATGTAAGCTGTCAGTATTAAAACTTTTGAGAACAAAGGACATAAAATCCAGCTTTCAGATTGAAAATATGCGCCCTCAAATTATGGCACATAAATTGCCCCTTACTGTCAGGATTCTGCTGTGTGAGTGTTTGTGAGTGAAGCCAAACGAAACTTTACCTTCACTTGTAATGACATATGTCAGGCATAGCTTAAAAGTCTTCTGATTTCAGATAATAGCCGTAACTGACGTATTAAAATGAGCCTCTGTCTCTTTAAGAATCTCCTGCCCTTTCCGACACTCCCTTTCTTCAGGCCGCGTCATCACGACAATGCTTCTTCACGTCGTCCGTTGATGCCGTTGGTGCGGTCAGTTCCACCCAAGGTGCTCCACCAGCTGTTTGCTAATCGCTGCTACTAGCAAACAGCTAGGAGCAGCCGTTTGCTAGTAGCAAACAGCCTCTCTGTGGGGGAGGGGGGAGGGAGACGCTCCAAAATGGCCGCCAAAGTAAATTCAAGGATGAGTCACAGCAGCACTCTTGGTATGTTTTTATGAAGAAATGGCATTATAATGTTCTTTAAAAAACTACAATTATCATTAAAATATATAAAAAAGAAGACTTTGTTCATTAAAAAGAATGAGAAAAGTTGATTTTATGTCAAATAAACCTCAATCTCTTATCCATGTGTGAACAGTCTTTTACACTTGGGCCACCTAAATATATAAAAATTTGGGGGAAATTACAGTAAGAACACAACATTTGATAAACGGTGTGATGCTGTGAGAACCCCTCCCCCCAAAAAACTACTTCCTGTATTCTTCTTCATCTTTTGGGCAGTAGCAATGTTCCGAATGTTGAACATGTGAGAAGGAATTTTTGAAAAAACAAAACAAAAACAACAATAACCAAAAATTATCCGAGAGCAAAACATTTTTGAAACTTGTTTTTTGTCTTTTTTTTTTCGACATTGTGGTGTTTCCATAAAACAAATTTAAGTTTGCGCAACTTTTTATGATACAACTGTTGCTAATTGTAAAAAGAAGCCTTTACCCTTTCCCATTTTCTTTCAGCAATTTTGCATGTTGGACAGGAAGCTAGAGCACAAAAATTATTTACACGGCAGTCCACACGTGGAGGGACATTTACCAGTTTCGACAATCGGCTATAAAATAGCATGAAATAATTTTTTTTTTTTTTTTTATTTTTAGAAATTTAAACCAGACTTATTAGATGTGGCTTCTCAGAAGATCATGTCCTGGTTGGTCCTCTGGGATTGGACTCACATTTTCATGGAAACGTCCCTGAATGCACTGCGTCTACTCACACGATATCTTGACACATGGATTACATGCTGTGTGCCTGAAAGAACAAAACTGGGTTCCACAGCATACTGTACATAAACACTGGCCTCGGCGGAAAATAACAAACCCATGCATTTACCTCCGAATGCAGACAACAGTTACTGTAAATCAGCCCGTTAAAAGGCCAGAAACGACTGGGACTCTTCCTCGCAGCATCAGGAGGAACCTCTTTACTGAAGCCTTAACTGATGGGCCGGCTTTGAAAGCCCACCCAGAGACAGATAGGGTCCGCTCCGACAATTTATACCACAGGGGACTTGAAAATAGGCAAAGAGATAGGCGAAGGAAAACATTGGCTCAAAGACACCCAAGTTCAGCTTGGTGTTTCATATTAGCTCAGAGCACAACAAGTTATCAGCGAATCTCCTTTTTTATGTGACACTAGACTGACCGAGGGGGAAAAAATGTTTTGTGTGACTCAGAGGCAGAAGCGTGCATCTGAGGAGGGAGGAAGACAAAAAAAAACAAGAAAAGACAGGAAAAAGTAACCTAGCCTGTCTTCAAAAGAGTCAGGTTTATAATCTGATGCTATCTTGTGAATGGTGCTCTGCCTTTCAGAGTCAACACAATGCGAGCCAAGACACGTGGACACGTGGCATTAGGAGCTCCATCAAGATGAGCTGATAGCAGATTCCTATAAAGAGTTGTCCTCCCGTTGATTCTCTCCGATTGCCCTGAATGCTTTCTGCATTATCTGCCTGCGTCTCTAATGACTCGCAGATTAAGGGGTGGCTGGGAGAACAGGCAGCCGCTTATCTGCCTGAGTTCACAACCTGCCCTGTATTTTCTTCATGATGGGGATGTTAATCTTTATTACGCGGCAGAGTTTAAATAATTGCTCTCAGATCTTACTTGCGGAATGTCACAAAAGCATGAATTTTGCCACGTCGGTCATGGCGGTGCTTTAATCCAACAGCCTTGTTGCCTCCTCTTTGGATTTCTGATGAAGTTTCAGTTAATTAACAACTTGGCATTAACATAAGTCGTTGCATTTTTTAAATGTATTTACTTTTTCTTTTTTTTTTTACATCCAAAAGACCTGAGCAGGAACCTTTGTTCTGTGTTTCTGGTATGCCTGTACATTTGACACACAAGCAACATCCGCAAACAACAGCGATGAACGACAAAACCGCTTCTCTCTGCCCACTGAGGGTTAATTTTTGTTTCAATAAAAAACGTTCTATTGGGAAGCTGGACAAGACAAGTGCTGCCTTCAAGTTAGCATTTCATTGAAACCATTCACGCCTAAAATAGCACCTCAACGCAAAAAATGTTGCAGCACCACTAATTCAGATGCAGCTTTTTAATCCTCCCTGCTGATAGAATCTTTTGATACTTTTCTACAGGCCATTATTTGGTCTGCTTGCCACTGGTCTACAGACATCCCAGAGTTCGTCACAAGCGTCACACGGATGTGTGCTACTATGAAAAGGTCAGTCGGACTCTGCCGCCACGTAATTATGGAACGAAATGAGATTAAAAACATTTCTGGAGCCATAAACATCGAGGTTATCTCATCGTATTCTTCTGACAGTTACATACTGGTTGAAATATGCAAGAAGTGCTTTTAAATTGCGAAGCCCCAGAGGCGGGCTGTAGTAGTCTACTTCCTATTATAGAAAGCGTGTGGGTTCACAGTGGCATTACATAATTCATGAGCAGGATATTTTAACTAGTTTTTTGTTTCATGTCATGATTAGTGAAGACTGTATTTCACACTGAATGACAAAGAGCTGTCTGTCTGTAGTTTCGAAGAATCACACGTTTTGCCTTTAGCTGTTCTCCTCGTCTGTCCTGCACTTTCATTGACAAACTATTCACTCGAGCAGTCACATCTGGTATGTTTTCTTTCCGTTTTGTGTCTTCTCCTTTACCCTCACACTTTTCAGCTGTTCTTTTTTTTTTTAATCGTTTGAAAGTGGCCACCAGCTGAGTTGGCACTGAGCCAAAGATACAAGGCCTGTAATGTTTGACTTGGGGTGGGTCCAGGATTTCCAACGGAAGATTGTGAATTTATGTTGCAATCAGTCTGGCAAAGTAAAGCCTCCAGCTGAGCTCATTATGATAACTCCTTCTTGTTTTCTGCTTAATGACATGTGATTTTACGCATCTGAATAAGAGCGTCGTAGCAGGTGGGTTTTTTTACAGTTAGCGCGCCTGCAGAAAGAATTCATGTCTCTTGCACTTTCTTACATTTTGTGACATTACAGCCACAAACCCCAGTGTTTTTATGAGGTGTTTATGAGCTAGACCACCAACATGAATTAACAAGGTGTATGGAGCTATATTGGTGCCATAAAGTTTGTTCATAAGAAAAAGAAATTGAAACTAAAATAAAGATTTGAAATTGTAAAACTGGAAAAAAAATATGTATAATTTTTTCAGTTTCAAATCTTTTTTAGTTTTATTTTTCTTTTCTTTTAGAACAAATTTTGACCCCAGTTTAGCTCCATGAAGGTGCTTTAGTAAGATGATTTTGACCGTTTTGGCCTACATGGAAATTCAAAATGATGCATATCATTACGTTGTCACATAAAGAGATAAAACAAGCAAGAAGTTGTAGAAGTAATAGAGACAATTATGTTCATAAATCTATCACAATAAGTGTGAAATGAATTAATCACGTTAAATTAAAATAAGCTCAATTTTCATTAGCGTGATTTATCATTTTTCTCTCTTGCTTACAGAGACTCCATTTCATTTGCTGCTTCGGTTGTGTTGTTTATTCATTTTGAATATTTAAAATGTTCCATTGTTAAATATTCATTTCAAGTTAAAGTTGATTAATTTTTGAGAGGGTATACTTACATCATTCTGCCGTTACTAATACATTACTTGAAAATGGTCTCCAGCCAGCATTATCATTTATTGGAATAACTTTTGGGATAATTTAAAGTCTAGCACAATTTGATATTGTGACAGGCCTACATATTGTACACTTATGTAAAGGCATCTATAATAGTACAGAACATTCAGTAGCTGATGAAAGCAGTCTGTACGTTACACAAAACTGAAAGTGATCGACTGGATCTCAAGAAAAAGGCCATTTCATGCCGCCTCTGATTTGTCCTCGCTCATATCTACGGTTCACATTACTGCCAATAATGGAAAGCTTAATGAACTCCCAGATCAGTTTTCATTTCCAGTGGACGGTAGCGTCAGATCTGGAAATTCTTCCCACAACAGAATGAGCCAAGAAATCCCAACATCTGTCCTCGCGGTGCAGAACTATCCAAATGTGAGCCGGTCCCAGTGAGGTTCTACAGTGTCACTTCTCCCGTTTCCTGAATCAGATGGGGTTATTAAATTGGACGGGGCAGATCTCACGGAACGCCATTCGGTTTATCATCTGAAAATGAGAAGATTATGACACCTATAAGATAAGCCTATGGACATAAACTAAATTCCCAGGCTAGGAGAGCATTAATTATCAAATCAGGTGTCTGTCAACAAGTTTACTGTTGCTTTTACACTTCACAAGTCTGGCTTTAGAAGGAAAGTGAGGCAAAAAAGCCCACTATATTACACAAGGAGAAGCAGCATTCAGCTTCTATGCAGCACAAATCTGGACAAACTTCCAGAAAACTGCAAAACTGACAAAACACTGAGTGACTGACTGAAACCCCACCAGTTTAGAGTTGCCTTTGATTCCTAATAACTGGAACATTAATTGGAATTTTTGATTTGCTTGATGATTTTGATGGCGGCAGACAAAATGTTGGTTACTTTCTTAGGCTATTATGATATAAAGCAGGTTGAGCTGCCTTGTTGCTGAAATGTGCTATGCATATAAGCTTGAATTGACAAACTTATCACGAGTCACTCTTTTGGTCCATTGCATAAAACCATGAAAAATACATATAGTTTTGTGGCTGTAATGTTACATAATACAAAAAAATCACACAGGTCTACTCATGTATTACTACTTGAGATTTAACTGTCCGATGCTCTTTTCTGGAATGCTTTTATCTCAGGGGCTTTTCCCCAA